GAACTGAAATTTTGGGTGCTCGCCGTGCGATCCAAAAATTTAAAATAACATCTGTCATGTGTGATTACATTTCACGCACCGGGACGTAAATTTTTTAGTGGGGAATTTTGCAGCTTGAGGACCGGGCAACGCATTGAATGTTTTTGCACACATTAAGGTATAAATCATTGAAAATTCTTAACAAGTAAACGTCCGCTAGGCTTTAGCCGGGATGTATATTAAAATTCAGTGTGGTAGCGAGGAAGTGGCGAAAAAGAGGAACCCGCAGTTTTTAATTTTAATGCAGAATTTCACAAAATGTTTCAAAGGTGCAATTCAGACGTGGTTCTGGTATAATTTTCGAAAACCAGATGTTTCAGATTTCGTCGTCAGCAGCATGATAATCCATTGAATGCAGTGCTGAGGCTTGCCGAAAAACGGCAAGAATGCACTAGTGAAATGAAACAAACAGGAAGTGATGTGTATTGTGGTCTCACGCCAGAGCAATATCTTGATCCGGATTACTCAATGGAGAATCGTGATATTGGCCACCCAAAGCAGGTCCTCGCTGCTTTATTTAATTTCCTCCTTTGCGAGAATATCCCGTTCCAGTTGTTCTGCTCCTTTCGCTCCTGCGGCGTTTTCCTGGCGGGACACTGAACTGTGAGCCTTTACTGCGTATTTATCTGCTATTTTTCGTTCTGATTAGTTACACTGCCAATTCCATCTCGATTCCCATTTCATTTCTTTTTCCAGTTAATCACCGCCAGCATCCCTTGCTCATGCTTTTGAAGAGCAGTGCTATTTTTGCGTCTAAAAGCGCCCAATTTAATTAGATTAATTGTTAACGTTTGAACGTCTAAGTGAAGCACTGTAAAAACCCAGGCTGCAACGCACCAGCAGGGCCGGTGCGATTATGCGTTTTTGCATTTTTCGCGCTGTAGCAAGATCACAGGGGATCACAGTAGCTAACCCTGTGACATACTGGCCCTCCAAGTTCGGGAAGTTAATTGTGCAGCTTTGTGGTATGTCAGTTGTAAATGTCGACTTCAGTGACCCGACAGATGGAAAGTTGCTGGTCCGCGAAAAAGGCCGCACTAGAAGAGCTAAATTTGAAATCTTTTAGTCACACCTAAGTAGGGAGCATTCCCTTAAAATTAAAGCCTTCAGCCTTCCCTGTTCCTGAGTCAGCAGTTTTCCCACCAAAATCTTCACGTGTCCGTACGTGAGTGCCAGACGGTTTTAAGGAGCCGAATTTGAAATCTTTTGGTCATACATGAGTGGGGACATTACCCTAAATTTTCAGCTTTCTAGCTTTTTTCGTCCCCGGGTTAGTGATTTTCGCGCCAAAATTTTCACCTGCCCGTACGTGGGCCCCGGGCGCTTCTAAACACCTGATTTTGCACGTACATGAGTAGGGAACATTCCCCTAAAGTTTCAGCTTTCCAGCTTTTTT